TCCCTCCTTGCTTCCCTCCTTCCCTCCCTCCTTCCCTCCCTCCTTCCCTCCCTCCTTCCCTCCCTCCTTCCCTCCCCCCTTCTTCCCTCTCTCTCTTCCTCTCTCTCTCCTTCTCTCCTTCTCTGTCTTTCTTTTCTTTTCTTTTTGGAGTCTTGCTGTTCACTGCAACCTCCACCTCCTGGATTCAAGCAATTCTCCTGCCTCAGTCTCCCGAGTAGCTGGGACTACAGGCACATGCCACCAGGCCCAGCCAATTTTCGTATTTTTAGTAGAGATGGTGTTTTACTATATTGGCCAGGCTGGTCTGGAACTCTTGACCTCAGGTGATCCACCAACCTCGGCCTCCCAAAGTGTTGGGATTGCAGGCGTGAGCCACTGTGCTTGGCCTAGGAATATTTTTTTGACAACGATATTCCCCTCCTGGAGGCTAAAACTTTGCCAGAATACAAGACAATAATGAGGGGATAGAGCAAGTGGAGTCTGGCCTGGGAGGTCAAACCTGTGTCACCTCTGTAGTCATCATTAACTGTGTCAACTGGGGGCAGGCAGCAGTGACTCTGTGTCTGGGATTCAGGGTGTGTGGGAAGTCACCTCTCCACTCTTGATGACCGTGTTTGACCCTTGGTGGCCCATGAAAAGTCTTCCCTCACCTCTGAGTCAAGGTTCCTGTTTGCTTCCTCTCTAATTCAGCATGAATGTCATCATCCCCAGGTGGCTCCTTTCTTCTTTGACTGAGAATTCTTGTCTCCCTTTTAAGACTCCCTTCAACCCAGTTTTCTGCTGTTCAATGCTAGGCCCAGGATCTCTTTGTGGCCCTCCCAGGGGATGGGGGGCACTTCATGAATACAAACCCCTGGAGGCTGGCCATGGCATGCCCAGTAGCTAAGATGGGCATGTTGGGAGGCATATGGGTGTGACCTCACCAGGTTTATCACTGCAGATTTATATTTTTTAAAAAGAAAGAAAAAAATACAAGATGTCATGGAGATGCTTATTGCTTCAATGTGATATTTCATTTAAGCTTTGAAATGGAGTTTTGAAATAATTTGCTTATGGATATACATGAAACAATTTATGTATATATGGATTAACATTCCTTACTGGTTTCATTTTTCCTGTTTTTAATGGATAGCTTTCTGTTCTGGAGGCCCATGATGTGGAAGACATGGCTCGTGTTACATCCCTGATAAAGATCTATATTCCACAAGCATTTCTCAAAGACAGTAGTGGAAGTGAGCTGACCTACGCCATTCCAAAGGATGCAGACAAGACCTGCTTCAAAGGGCTCCTCCAAGCCCTGGATGAGAACCTGCGTCAGCTACACCTGACGGGCTATGGGATCTCAGACACCACCTTAGAAGAGGTACTGAAAAAACTGAAGCATGCTTTACTTATTTATGCTTTTTTGGCCATTCCACATTAAATGAAGAGATGTGGGTAAAGGGGAGGGGACGGAGAAAAGTGTGCACTTTTATTTACATTTGGGTTCTGATTGGTAGCATAGTAGACACCAATAACTGAACTTAATATGCTTGACAGGTGACGATTGTCCTTTAAGTGAAATGGCATTCTTTTAGCATTCTTTCTTTCTTCCTTTTTTTTTTTTTTTGAGACAGATTCTGGCACTGTCGCCCAGGCTGGAGTGCAGTGGTGCGATCTCAGCTCACTGCAAGCTTCCCCTCCCGGGTTCATGCCATTCTCCTGCCTCAGCCTCCCGAGTAGCTGGGACTATAGGTGCCAACCACCACGCCCGGCTAACTTTTTGTATTTTTAGTAGAGACGGGGTTTCACTGTGTTAGCCAGGATGGTCTCGAACTCCTGACCTCGTGATCCACCTGCCTCGGCCTCCCAAAGTGTTGGGATTACAGGCGTGAGCCACTGTGCCCACCTCTTTTAGCATTTTTATAGTTGAGAAGCTTGGTGTCTTTAATTCAGAATCATGAGGTGTTTAAACAGTTGTCAGTAGTGGATGATTGCTGGTTGTAATTCTTCATGCCCTCCTCTTTCTGCTTCTGTCTGGGAGCCTCTGGCCGCATGCTGGGTATCCGTAATGTGAGCGGGTTTAGCACGGGAACACTGCAGACGCCTGGTGAGCTCCCATCCCCCAGGTCCCACGTTTCTCTACCTGGATCTGAGGTGGATGAGACTACTCCATGTGGGTTCTTCATAGAGTACACTTAACGACAGGCAGAAATAGGCATTTCCTCCAGGAGGACGTTGCTGTGTTGTGTGACCCAACGTAAGGCAAGCCTTGTTTGGGGTTCTTGAGGTTGGGTCTCTGTGTGGTTAGTATTTGAGCCTTAATTTTGCATTACTATTATTTATAGAAAATGTTGCAGATTTTTAAAAAATCAAGTGCTGCAAGTTAAAATTTTTAAAAATCTGCAAAAGTCAAAGTCTGAACATTCAGTTGTGTTTTGGAATTGATTCCTTGGGTTAGTGATGCAGGAGGAAAGGCAATCTTTTGTGTGATAAATCAGTGTGGTCCCAAGTAGATAGCCCCCATCACAAGTTTTGTCTGGAATAAATAATCATAAAAGATTGTGAAACATTAAAAAAAATTACAAAATGATTTTATACGTAGAATGTATTTGGTTCCCCAAAAACTCTGTAACTTATTATCTCTGCTTTAAGGTTGAGTTAGCTGAGGCTCACATAGGCTAACTTCTGTACCTCAAATCACGAAGGTGATAAATGGTGAGCTCTGCTTAGACCTAAGGTTTCTGATAGTTAGCCAAGTTCTCTAAATGAGCCCATGCCTTTGTGTTTGATGTTCTGTATTCCATGCATCATCAGGACTGGAGTCCATCAATTCCCACTGCGTTTTAATAGAGCAAGTTAGAGTGCAAGAGACAAACAAAAAGCAGCCTAATAAACACACATGATGAATATGAGCTGTTTTCTAAAGCCAAAGGATGCGATCACTGCATCTTTTCTTGTCTGGCTGTCTCCTATTTTCATTCTTCAAGTCTCGACATGAACGGCGCCTCTGCAACGGATTCCCAGATTCCTCAGCATCAATTCTGTTCCGTGTTCCCCCCACCCGCCCTCACTGCACTCTGAAGCTTTTCTTCACGACAGTTCTCCCAACTTGTTATGTATGTGTCTCTGTCTCTCCCATGGAAGCTGAGACCTGTGAGTGCTTGTGTCTTTTCTGCCCACCTCTGTACCAGCAGTGCCCAGGACAGTTGCTGGCACTCGTCGTTGTTTAATAAATGTTTTCTAAGTGAATGATGTGCTGAACCTTTCCAAAGACTCATCCAGCTATATTTTTAATATGAAATAAATAATATTTTATTATTTAATAAAATAATACATATATATGCATATACATATATAACATACAATATACATACATATACATATATTATACGTATATAACATACATAATGTTATATATGTATATGTATATAACATACAATATAATATACTTATATAACATACAATATACATACATATACATATATTACATATAATAATACACAAATTTAATAAAACATATATATATATTTTTTTCAGGGTTTCATTGTGTTGCTCAGGCTGGTCTGGAACTCCTGGTCTCAAGAGATCCTCCCACCTTAGTCTCCCAAGTAGCTGAGACTATAGGTGTGTGCCACTGCACCTGGCACCAGGCTTTTGATCTTTAGAATGGAAAAATCTGAACAGTTTGCATGGTTTCCGAGGGAGTAACAATAATAGTTAAATTCCTGGAACAAATCTGTCAAAAATGGTAATGGCTTTTCTCACTTATAGTGGGATTGCATGAGACGTTGCTGCCGTAGCTTTGGAGTTACCACAAAATTAAATAACATCTATACCCCCAAAAGGTACCTTTCCTCCAGGAATTTTTGGGAGACAGCAGTCTTCCCTGGGCCAATGTAGAACAAGAGGGAATTTCCTAAGCCTCTTTTCCCCAGATTGCATGAGTCAGATGTAGGTTTACAGACCTGCCGCTAACTAAAGCACCGTACTTGAATGCAGCTATGTCAGGCACCGCAGTTGTCACTGTCTTCTTAAATGTGAATAACAAGTCCAAATATTATATTGGAGGCTAATCGTTTGACTAGTTGAGAGCTGTCAGCTGGCATGAGTCAGTTTCCCTACAGATAGAAGGAGGTGCTGCTTCCAGGGGTAGTTTTGCCATCCTGGGTCCCTTGGAAAAGAAAAATAAAATAATATTTTTTGGATTATAAAGAGAAATTGTCAAAAAAGCGCAGACTTGTTATGTTCATGTCTGTCTCTCTAATCATTCACCAGGTTAATCCGGTTGTTTACTAGTTGTATGGCATCTTGTACAGATAAATTGAACACATTCATAAGCTCACTGGACTCTCAGGGCAGGGAGAAAGACCCTGTGGGAATATGGACCAAGCACACTTACCAGTGAAATAATGAGTGTTCACCTCCAATATATTTACTGATTTACAATTAAACACATGCAACAGGAAGAGTGGGTGTTCCCTTTACGTAAGTGGTATTTTGCTTGTTGCTAATAAAAGAGAAAACCTTGGTAATATTCTTAATTTTTATTATTAAGAAGAGTGAAATTTTGTGGAACATTTTGCTTGAATATTTTATGAATTTAAACATCACAGAAAAAAAAAAAAAACAACAAAAATTGGTGAGGAGAGCCTTTATGTCCTGGGTAGATGCTTAGCTTTAAAATGTTTTGTTAATTATTGTGGCATATATGACCAATCAATAATATCTCAAGGTAAAATGTACCTTTAGGGAGAGGCTTATTCATAACCATAGCACATGTAAATAAGATTCTTCAGTATGCCTCTTAGTAATTCCCTTCCTTCCTGCCTTCCTTCCCTACCTCTCTCTTTTTGCATCCCTTCCTCCTTCCTGCCTACATCCTGCTTTCCTCCCTAATTTTTAGGTCTGTCTGAGTTCTTAGTCACATCTGAGACTAAAATGAAGAGCCCACAGAAATAACGTGTCAGCTGTGCTGTTTCGTGTTTGTTGTGCTTGTGTTACTCGTATTATCTGCAGAATCTTTTAAAGCCACTATCTCCTTTATAAGTGTTATTTTAGTAAAAACTAGATAAATCAATGTAAAAATCTACTTAGGCCTCTACAAAGCTGCGACCTGTTGCAACTTAAAGAACTGTCACTGTGGCCACAGAGGCCACCGTTGCTCCTACCAGTCTTAAATATAAGGAATTCTTTATGTCTGATAGGTTCCACCTAGGAATAGAAACTGAGATTTCCATGTTTCCTCCTGCACCCTCTGAGGTGCTGAGAGAGCTGGGGCTGGACAGAGCCTGCAGGGCCGCGGGGAGTGCTCTGCATCCTTGATCATGCATGGTGCTCTCTCACTGCAGAATGACTCCCCTACCTTGGCACCCTTACCTGTAGGTTGGGAATCATGGAAGGAACCACAACATAGTATTGAAGGGAAGAAACTTCTAGTGCAGCGCATGACACACAGACATTCGTTCCGCTTGATAGGGACTTGCATGAGATGCCCTGGGAGGAGCCCCAGCCAGGGAGTGCCCCGGGACCAAGGAAAGCCTCCTGCAGGCACTCACAGAGGACAAGGCTGGAGCTGCAACCTGGGTGTATATTGGGGTTTAGAGGCTGCTCCCTTTTGCTTCCTCACCCACCAGCCACAGGCCCAGCCTCCCACCTCCCCCAGACCCACGTCCATGCTTCTCCTTCTGATGTCTGCCCCTTCCCCACTCTCATCTCTACAGAGCTTGGGCCTGTTAAGAGCTTGCTGTACTTCGGTCCTTCCATGCCCCGAATTCTAAACCAGTCTTGAAATCTCACTGCATATACCTTTTTTTTTTTTTAAACAAGAGTTACCCATTTCACAATATTTATCTTGAACAGTTTTTATTTTTCCTATAGTCATGATGTTCATGGTGACATAATTTCTTTTATAAAAATGTGTCCTTATGTAGTTCCTCTCCTCCCTGCTTTAAGGCACTTTGGTTGTTTCCAGAGTTTTGATTTTGCCATTGAGACCACACAAAGATGAAGAACAGCATCCTCCAGCTTCTCCATAGACTGATTCCCAGAAGTGCGATTACTGGGTTCACGGGGATAACCCTGAAGATCTGTGACGGGGTCAAATGACAGAGTCCCAAAATGATAACACGCATTTATGTCCTGGATGCTTTTTTTTTCATGTGCCTCAATCTTTCATCATTTCAAAAGAAACCCAGTGCCTTCTAGTCACATTTAGGATTTCGTAACTGGCCTGTTGCCCCATATCTTCTTCAACCTATGGTTGCCATGGGAAGGGCCTGGGAGTCAGGACAAGAACATTGACACTTGCATTTATATTTCATCACTTCCTGTCAGGGGCAACCTGAACAAATCACTTAGGCTGGACCACATTTATTTTAATTT